AAAGATCAGATAAAAATGGAAATGGAATGACTGATAATGAAGTTTTAATAAAAGTACAGAATACAGTAAGTTCATTACAAGAAACATAAACTACTAACTCTAATGTATCAGCCTTACTCCCAACACCTGTAAATGAATTTCCTTCTGATTTCATGCTGAGATACCAGTACTGTCAATCTTTAGTGCTGTGAACAGAAATCTCCAATAACATAAAATTCACAATAATCACAGCTTTAACATACTTGTTAATCAACTTAGTAGAAGTCAATATTGTTTATACTACTTACTTTTTTTTGGTATTACATTTATTTACCTTCTGGGTTTCTTGCACACCCTGAGTGAATCCATCCTCACTTTCAGCTTCTCCTTTCTTCAGTATTTCAGCTGCAGCTATTTCAGGAGACAGTCTTTATTGAAAAACAGGTGTTTTCTAGTCTGCCTTTTTAAATGATCACAGATTTTTATAAAAGTTTCTTTCTCCTTTAGCATACTTTGAGGCCCTATTCCCAATTAAGTTGTCCTTTTGAAGGTCAGAACAAGATCCTCTTCTTTTTCTGAGTGGTTTCCCCTCCCCTGAGTCTTAATTCCTTCACTGTCAGCTGCTCCTACTCACAGTTACTATTTCCTTCAGGATGGTAAACACCGAAGGTGATGTGAGGATGAGTGGTGCCATCACAGATTTAAACAGGTGCTGGAGATGATGGAATCTGAATATCTAACAGGACCCCAGCTTGGCTGATCTGTTCTCCAAGCCCAGCTTGTTCTCCTCTTCCTCAGGGACCTTATGCTCAGTGTCATTTAAATTTCCCCTTGGAAGTTTCCCCTGGGCTCGTGCCTGCTACAACTTGAATGAATTAAAAATGAAAGCAGCAGTAGCAAAAAAGTAATGATAAATGTTGGTGAATTGACTGCATGCAGTTATCCTGGGGTGTGTTGCAGAAGAGGGTGCTAAGACTGACAATGTTTGATGCTGTCGTGATTAGAGTAAAGATTATATTAGTGATGCTCTCAAACACGTGCAGGGCATAATGAGAGAATACACGAATCACAAACAAGGCAAAGAAATCAAGGGGGAAGATAAATCAGAGGAATAAATAAACTACAGAATTTTGCAGTAAACAGAAAAAATAAAATGAATGCCTCCAGGAAGAAAATAATCTTGAATACACTTAAGGCTTCAGCCAGGGATGATCTCCTGCTGGTTTGTGATATCTCTCTCACGGTGGGTACTTTGGAAGCATGGGCACCTTCTTGATTTTCCAGGAATCCTTTTACTCTGAGTTCCCTTCATTCTCCATCCAGCCTGCCCTTGAACCCCTCCAGGGATGGGGCAGCCACAGCTTCTCTGGGCAACCTGGGCCAGGCTCTCACCACCCTCACAGCAAAGAAGTTCTTCCACAGATCTCATCTCAATCTCCCCTCTTTTAGTGCCAAACCCTTCCCCCTTGTCCTATGGCTCCCCTCCCTGATCAAGGATCCCTCTTTTCTCTCTCATCTTTCTCAAAGGGAATGCTCTCTCTCATCTGAAGGGGAGAGAAGTCCAAGAGAGCATCTGTCCTTTGTCTTGGTGGCAATCATGTGGCCCAAACCATGACAGAGCTCCCATCAAGAGGACATTTGTGCTGGAAGGACCCTTTTCAGCTGAAACACCTATTTTGGCGTGATCTGAGGTTGGTTGGAAGAGCTCAGCCACTCAGCTCACAGGGTATCAACACAACTAACGCTGCCTGGAAAGACTCAATCATTGGGGACAGTCAAGAGAGTGAAATGAGAGCAAATGAAGAATATAAGACCCGACCAGGGACATGGAATATATTTAATGGGTGCATTCCTGTTTATCAACACATGGTAGCACATCACTGAGACAACATGTAAAATGATCTGCTGCTCCTCAGTCGGGAAATGAGGAAGGTATTTGCTCACTTATAATTTCTAATCTTCCTTTAAAGCGCTGCTGATGTGAATTCAGTCACTGAGCTTAAAAGTGGATTCGATGGTTTTATGATAAACACTTTTTTTCAAAATGTCTTTGAAAATAATCCATCCAGAACAAACATAGGAGAAAAAAAAAAAAGGAAAACTACACAGGTTTCTTCATCAGTGGCAACTTCTCTGCTCTCTGGGGCAGGAGTCCTATAGGAGCTTAGGACTCATGCCTCTGCTTTGCTGTTAATTCCTGCATCAGGTGTGCATCTTGAAGTTAAAATAAAATAATAAACCAGAAAAAGGAACAAAACACCCCACCCTAAGTTACCCTGAGAAAGGAATGTAAAATCAAACCTTTAGCTATGTCTGTGTGTTCGCAGCAACCAAACTCAAGGTGAAACGCCCCGCAAAAAATAAAACAGGCAAGAAGACCTAGGGGATGTTTCATTTTAAACGTGATCACACAATTTCAGTGCTTCAGCCTTCTTGTTCATAGCCAAACGGGTGCACGTAAACTCTCACTGTATGGTCTAACCAAAGGTGGGGAGGCAAGGGGGGGTGTTAACAGTGAGGGCAGATGTGGTATCTGTGTGCAGTCTGGTCACGGAGCACAACGAAGCCTTTCAGCCGCCAACATCTCCCCCTGCTAAAAATGAAAACCCTTGGGTTATTTCAAAATAACTGTGAGGGCACTTTGTGTGCAACAGGATCATTAACTCCGTGGTGAAATGACGTGAGTGTAACCTGCCTCCAGTACCTTTTTTGACTTCACTAGAAACTAACGAGTGAAAAAACATGACCTGTCAAAAATAATTCCAGTGATGTACATGACTGGCATGTATTTCTTTAATTTATTTGTTTCAATTATTGCCTTAAGTGATTTTAATAGGTACAACATAAATGAGTTTAAGCAGATTTTCTTTCTCCATTTGGAGCAAAAAACTAGAAATGCCAAAGAGAATCCTAAAGTTCATACTCAGTTTACTTCTTACGGTTTTGGATGTCAATTTTGGTTTGTATAATCATTAGGAGGAAAAAAGCAAAGTGGAGCGTGCTGCTCCAGAGCATGTGTTAATAGAACAGAAAAAAACTTGCACAACACCTCAGTGCAATGAGGAATCCGGAGTCGAGTGGTCTCCCTGTGGAACAGGCTTCCTTTGGGCTTCTATTTTCTTCTAATATACAAGTAGACTTGTAAAGGATGAAATAGTACAAACTGTTTTCTGAATAGTAGAACGAACTGCTGCACCCAAAATCTCCAAAAGAATCTATTCCCTTATGAGGAGAGACTGAGAGAGCTGGGACTCTTTAGTCTGGAGAAGAGAAGGCTGAGGGGAGACCTTATCAACGCCTACAAGTATCTCAAGGGAGGGTTGAAGGAGGAGGGAGCCAGACTCTTTTCAGTGGTTCCCAGTGAGAGGACGAGGGGCAACGGGCACAAGTTGGAACATAAGAGGTTCCACTCAAATATGAGGAGAAACTTCTTCACGGTGAGGGTGACAGAGCCCTGGAACAGGCTGCCCAGGGAGGGTGTGGAGTCCCCTTCCTTGGAGATTTTCAAGACCCGCCTGGATGCTCCTGAGTAACATGCTCTAGCTCTAGGCAATCCTGCTTCAGCAGGGGAGTTGGACTAGATGATCTCTATGGTCCCTTCCAACTCTAGAGATTCAGTGAAATTCAGTGAAATTACATCCCAATGCTGGCAGGCTAACGTTTAAAATGTTGCATAATTTCTCATAAATTCTCTGTGCTCAAAGGAACCTTTGAACAAACCCAAAAAGGGAAAAACAAGGTCTCCTTTGAAATGAAGGGTTTGTCTGCGTGCCTAAAAGTAAGGGATAATTAACAGGAAAAATTAACACCGTGTGGGAGATCTGTAGTAATCCAAGGTGCCAGCCCTGGTGATCTGAACTGGTCAGAGGTGGAGATCCCAGAGATGCCTGGTGCTGAGGACACCACGATGGGCTGAGGGAACCTCTCCCACCTCCTGTGCCAGTCCCAGCCTGACAGCAAGGACCCTGCAAGGCCTCGTTGGCTGATTTGATCTTAAAAGATGGACTCTTAAAAGGATGAAGGCTTTTAAAAAAACTCAGTGGAGCTTGCACTCTCTGGGAGGTCTCCTCAGGGTTTGTCTTTTTGTTTTGTTGTTTTTCTGATGATTTTTTTCCCCCCTTGTATCTTGTATCCAGTGCCCCTGGGGGGAGGCATCAAGGGGATAGAGCCAGGCCATAGGTGGTGGGAAAGCTGAGCAGAAAATGAAACAAAAGCAGTTCAGAATATATAAGGGAAAAAATAATTCCACCACAAAGACAGTCAAGCAGAAGAGCACATCCAGAGAAGGTTTTCAATACCTGATTGAGTATTGAACCAGCAACGGACAATTTGGTTTGATGCTGCAGAGGACCTTGCTGGGAGCAGGAGGTTGGACTGGACACTTCTGGAGGTCCCCTCCAACCTGAATTCTCCCATGATCATGACGTCATTGGCTGAATTCTGCACCACAGAGAGCAACAATGTATAGTTCACTATCTAGTAATACACAGATTACTGAAAGAAAAAAAAAAAAGATTATTACAGGACTAAAATAAGGTAATATTGCAGTCCTTTGGGTAGCAGCTGGAGACTCAGCCCAAAACATTAGGGCACCTTGTAAGTATTTCATGGCTTAGACATCCTAACCCCACGGAGACATCTAAATACAGGTCCTTTGTGCATCTTCATCTTAAGGTAAGTCCCATCTTGGAGAAAAATCTCTTCAGAAAAATGAGACAACAATCTGTCTGGTAACTATTCTGGCTGCAGACGTTGCTGCTCCCACTAAAATAAAATTGCACTATTTTATTTTGCACGGGGACAGGTAAGGGAAAGCCCAGGTGACCAGTGCTTTTTCTGCAGAGAAGTGGTACAAAGCGCTACGATGCCATTACAAGGGGAACGATCACTTTGCCTCGCAGAAAAGTGGCCAGTGTCTAAATAAATATAAGAATAGTCTCCTTGGGGAGCTGATTCAACACCAAAGGAACTTGTTTTGTAAATATTAATTTATTTTACATATATAGAAAACAAAGGTTCAGAGACATTCACATTAACAAGATAAATTATTTAAATTATTTACAGTGTTAAAAAAGCAGTGTTTCAGAGAATTTTTGTGAAATAAAAATGGATCTGAAGAAAGAAGGGGAAGCATAAGGACTACTATTAAAAATGTTTTATATTTATGGTGAATACACACTATGAGGGGACAGAACAAAACAAAAATGTTGTTTATCTATTTGAAAGAAAATGCTGGTCATCACAATAGTTACCCTTGAAATTTATCAGACTGGATCAGTTAAGGTATTGCTGAATTGCTATTTTTAAAGGCCTTTTATTTTTAAGACAGTTTCTGTTATATTTGATTATTACTATGAAAAAAAGAAACATTTTTATTTCTGCCAACCACTCCTAGTCTCTAAAGCACACAGAAGCCCTACAACTCTGAAAAGGCAGGCATTGGTTTCCCAACTTGGAAGCTTTTACAGACACGTTATGTCTTGACTGTAAAATTCATAGTGCTCATTTTAAACATCTCCTGAAAGAACTTTCCTGGTTACCATTTGCACTGTGTATTCAAGCACCAACACGCAGTTTGCTATGAAGAGAAACAGTATTTATCTAAACTGGCACCTGGGTTATTACATTTCTTCTGTATTTAAAAATTGGAAATAAATAACATTATCCCTGAAACTGCTGTATAGCACAGTCGCCTAAAGTAAATGCTATCCAATAACCACAATTTTCCTGTCTGGCTCTAAAATTTTCCAATCCCAGCCCAAAGGCACTGTTAAAAAGCTGGCTCCTTCTTTTAATCCATTTGTATTTGAGCAGAGTTCAAAAGAACACTCACTCTCCACAAATATAAAGAAAACAACGGGAATTCATCCGAGAGGTGAAGAATAATTTGATCAAGGTTCTTCAGAAATTTGGTTTTTTCCTCTCCATCATAGTCCGAGCTTGAAACATTACGGTCTTCTGTGTCATTTTGAAGAAGCTGTTCCAGAATCGTGCACAAAGTGAAAATATTCTCGTACTGGGTGATGTCATACATGGCCTGGACCTGGGAATAAAGAAAAAAAATAATAAAATCGATGTGTAAGCACAGGGTAAAAATGCTTTGGCAGCCCATCATCTTGGGTGACACTTTAAGGAAAAATAATAAAATTGATGTGTAAGCACAGGGTAAAAATGCTTTGGCAGCCCATCATCTTGGGTGACACTTCAAGGAATAATTTGAAAATTTGCAGCAGTATTTAAACGATCAGAACAGCAATGTGCTCACAATGATTATTTCTAAGAAATGTTTTACTTTTTGTGAAAACAGCCAAACAACTGGCTCCCCAGCAAACTTCCAAATGAAAAGTCAATGTAAGCTCCTGTTTAGGAGGCACCTAATTATCCACAGGCTGTGACCTACAATAATGATCTACAGATAAACAACAGCAAAAACTTCCTTTGTTTTAGGGATGGAATTAAAATCGGCGGATTTCTGTTTTCTGAGATGTAAAATAACAAGTAAAAAAAGCAAAACCTGTGTTTGCTTCTGAAATGTTGGCCTCGTAAATTCCCTCAGACCCTCCTTTTGTATGAGGAATCAATAGAGAAAGTTTTAGAAAGGCAAATTATGTCACTTCACTTGTCCCCTTTAACTTCTCTTCCAAGCAGTTGAGCAATTGTGTTACTTCCAGCGGGTCTTGAAAAAGTGCAACTAATTGCAATTTAGTAACCTTTCTAATTGATTATGGATAATAGAAACCACAAGCCAACTAATTCTCTTTCTTCTGCAAATACCATTGCCCCAAAGGAAAATTATTTTAGCCACACAGAACCAGCTTTGAACAGAAAGGTGAAGTCTGATGCAAGGAGGAAGTAGGATTTTTTTTTGGAGGTAATTGCTTTTCAGGGGACAAATGCACCTTGAAATATTGTTTTATAAAACCGGGGAGGGGGAAATCAGTATAGAACATTTTCTGGCTTATTGACCTTTCCAACCCATTTAATAACCTGAACAAAACGTGGTTCCATTTGGGTTGCTGGATGCCTTCTGTAGCACTAATTGATGCAATTACTACCAATGCAAATTTAAGGTATGTCTCAAAAGCAAACCTTACATATAGACTACAATTCCAGAATATATTAATATCAATTTTAAGTAACATTAATTGTGTTTTTCAGAAAGAATTTTAAGATAATCTTCCTTTTTACAGATCAGATGAGTGGGCAACACAGGTTTTGGACTCTGGGGTTTTTTTTGAGAGATCAGTTATTGCTGATTTTTCCTCACCAAATAGTTGGAAATGGGCTTCTTAGCAGTGAGATACACTTTGCACGCACCTCAGTTTTGAATTTAACTCTTGAAATGATTTTATTATTATGATTTCTCGACCCAAACAAACTTGACAAAGTTAAATAATTTTTTTAAGATTATTAATTGCATAAGATTGAGCTTTACATAAGATGAAAACACGGGGCACAAGGATCTCCTGCCTGAATTTGATGATCTGCTAATCAGAATTCATGTATTTCCATCACCAAGTTGAGAGTGCAGGAAGTATCAAAACTTTTGGCTGAAATCAATTCTCCAAAATTCTCCTATGCTACAGGGTAACCACCTGGAATAACACACGTATTTCCTGCTTAATCTGAAAGCAGGGAAGAAGTTCTCTAACCTGCCTTCTCTACAATGCTGTCATAAGTACCAGTACGTTAAAAATGAATTATGTTAAAGGAAACTGCTAAAAAATGTAGGTAGCACTGACAGTCAGAATGTTTAAAAGCCATTTATGGTCCAGGTCTCTGCACTTTCATTGTACAATCCCAAATTCCAAGCTGCCACTCTTATCGGACAGATTTGGAGTTGGGGTCTTCAGCATAATTTCTGGCAAAAAAATTGGGATCTGAAAGCAGAGAATTATTTGAAGTGGCCTTCACAGGATGGTGCATGTAATTTCTGAAGGTGATTCAAGCAGATTCAGGAAAAAAAACAAAGTGATAATCTACATGCAATTTTTGCGCTTCGAATATTTTTGGTTTTATGTCTTAGCAGTTCACACACATTTCTAATGCTCACTCAAATGCTCTCAATGACAGCAATATAAACCAAGAACAGGAGAATAAATATTAGCTTTGGAGAAATTCTCTACAATTCTTATGTCATTTACCATCTGCAGCTCATGTTCCTAGTGCTGCTGTCTGCTGAGGCTGGTATTTCCGCACGATGCTACCTTCTGACTATAGGCAAAAAACATTTATTACTTTTACATCTCAGAGGATCTACAGAACGGAGACAATACTTTAACAGTGCAAATACAAATTAGATGAAAAGAAAGAGATTGCTTTTCTGGTAACTAGGTGTTTGCTTCCATGCAGCTCAGAGGTTTACATAGGTGATGGACCAAACACCAGCATCACCCCTGTGTCGTCTGGAATAAACCAGAACCAGCTTTAACTAAGGGCAACTTTATTTGGGTTTAGAATTGAATGCTGAAATGCTGAAATTTCTGACCAAATTAAAGCAATGAAAATTGATCTAGAAGAACCAATATGTTTGATTAATGACAATAAAGCTTTCCCCCTTTTCTCTCCTTAAAATTTAGTTAACGCCTGTTTAGGCATCTGAAGTCCTATGAAGGTATCAACAATTGAAATGGAAGTGCCAAAAGTGGCACCAAAAAATTTGCAAGAAGCAGAACCCTTAGACTATGATGGATTGAGGTGATTTGGGCAGAACCCTTTCATGCCAAAATAGTCATCTTGCAGAAGTTTCAATGTTATCATTTTCTAAACAGCAGAGGTGTAGAAACACTAATCTTTCCAGTTTGATTCAAATTTGCATCACTATGGCAATATTCCATATAACATTATTCTGGGTATAATTATTTGTTGCAATATACATTTAATCTTTGGTTTAGGAAGAAGTGGATAGTTTATCTACATCTCCTTCCTCTTGTTTTGGAAAAAAACTTATTATATAGAAGAAAATCTTTAGGAAAATACTTATATTTCATATAAATATAACACTTTCAGAAACTAGTTGCTTAAAATTGATATTTCCCTTAGGTTCAACTATTAAACAAGATTTTAAAAATAATAATAATAATAAAAAAAGGTGTTTCGGTGATTCTATCATCTGACTAAAAAAAAATTGTAGTTTTCCACTACAATTATGTCACCAAATCCCATAACCTCCTCCCAACTTTCAAAGAATACCAAACGAGTTGCTTAAAATTGATATTTCCCTTAGATCCAACTATGAACAAGATTTAAAAAAAAAAAAAAAAAAGTGTTTCGGTGATTCTATCATCTGCCTAAAAAATCAGTTTTCCACTACAATTGTCACCAAATGCCATAACCTCCTCCCAACTTTCAAAGAATACCATCACAGTCTTCCAAATTGTAATCATAATTTCACGAACATTAGACAGGCTAGATAAGCAGTGCTACTCTCTCATTTAAAGTATTTAAAATTATGTGGAATATGTATGTAGAATAAATCTTGAATGGATTAACAGAATTTAAAAATACGAAAACTATGTTGCTTATTCCACTTAAATACGTAAGAAATTAGAGAAGCAAGGTATTGAAAATCATACCAAATATAAAATATGAGTACACCACAGTGTATCTAAAAGTTTATATACACGCTGTAAACCTTAATTTTAGAAGCACTTAGAGCCTTGACTAAAACATGACAAAACACAAAATGGAACAGGTTGTTTCCTACAATCTTTTTAGACTTTACAGAAACTAAATGGGTATGACTGTAAGCAAATATAGTTTCTCTTTCAAATTTTACTTTTCCATTAATTTTCCAATATACTCTTCTGGAAACCCCCAAGCCAGTCATTTTCTAGACATTTTCAGATTTTTAATTTGTTTGTTTTTCCTCAAATGCTACAGGGTTTTAAGAGCTTCAGAGTGGCTGTTTAGAACTCATGAGTGTTACAGTGAAGAACAGGTTGTTTCCTACAATCTTTTTAGACTTTACAGAAACTAAATGGGTATGACTGTAAGCAAATATAGTTTCTCTTTCAAATTTTACTTTTCCATTAATTTTCCAATATACTCTTCTGGAAACCCCCAAGCCAGTCATTTTCTAGACATTTTCAGATTTTTAATTTGTTTGTTTTTCCTTAAATGCTACAGGGTTTTAAGAGCTTCATAGCAGCTGTTTAGAACTCATGAGTGTTACAGTGAAATGGGTGCTGAGAAGTGGTGATACACAGTTCAAAACTGGCCCTCTAAAATTAAGCATTCCAGAAGAACTCCAAAGACAGTTACATTTAAAAAGATCCTTCTGGATCTGAAAATCTCCTGCAGCTTGTGTGAAAAATACAGTTTCCTGACAGAACATAAAAAAAGCAAAATACGCTGAAAGGGATTAAATTATAAATTGACCGTAAGAATGCCAACTGGTTTTTCTTTCCATTTTCGAAGCAGAAAAGACTAAAAACATACAGGAATAATTATGTAAATGCTTTCAATTCTAAAAGTTATGAAAACATTTGCCATAAAGGAATAATTATGTAAAGGAAAATTCTTTCAATTCTAAAAGTTATGAAAACATTTGAAACAAATAATGGAAGAATTACTGAAGATCAACCTGTGGTCTGAACATTACTATTTTAAATGATGACAGGATGAGGGTAATGGTTTTAAACTGAAAGGTGGCAGATTTAGATGAGATCTCAGGAAGAAATTCTTTCCTGTGAAGGTGGGGAGGCATGTGATTTTTCACTCTTTGGTACCATTTCTTATGCCAAAGCTTCATCACAGCTCAGTAGGACTATCTAGAATGGACAAGTAGTGGTGGGGAGGTACAGCCTCATTGAACCTTCAGAGAATCTGTTTGAAAGATAATCTTCTGTAGCTGAGTTGGGTATCTAAGAGCTGAGTACCCTTAGCAAAAGTACATGATTTTATCAAATGGCTGTGCAAAGCCAAAGACCTAAGAACAACAAAGCTAAAAATGACCAGAAGTGCACTCTATAGCACTGGGTCCCCCCAAAGGAGACTGTTGCACCCAAACTAGAGGGATATCATAGAAGTTTAAAGTTTTTG